TAATGAAAAGTGGTTTTTTATTTCATGATGACTTCGGATTTGTTCATTTTTTTGCAAATTGCTAGTCTAATTCGATTAGAATCGAGCCAATGAAAAGTTGTTTTTGATTACATGATAACCTCAGGTTTGTTCATTTTTGGCAAATTGCTAGTCCAAATCGATTGGAATCGAGCCAATGAAAAGTGATAACTTCGGGTTTGTTCAATTTTGGCGAATTGCTAGTCTAAATCGATTGGAATCGAGCTAATGAAATGTGGCTTTTGATTCAATGATAACTTCGGGTTTCTTCGTTTTGACTAATTGTTCGTCTAATTCGATTGGAATCGAGCCAAAGAAAAGTTATTTTTCATTTCATGTTAACTTCGCATTTGTTCATTTTTGGCAAACTCCTAGTCTAAATCGATTGGAATCAAGCCAATGAAAAGTGGCTTTTGATTTCATTATTACTACGGGTTTGTTTGTTTTTTGGCAAATTGCTACTCTATTCGATAGGAATTGAGCCAATGAAAATTGGTTTTTCATTTCACGATAACTTCGTTTTTGTTCAGTTTTGGCAAATTGCTAGTCTAAATCGATTGAAATCGAGCCAATGAAAAGTGGCTTTTGATTGCATAATAACTTCGGGTTTGTTCGTTTTGGCGAATTACTAGTCTAATTCGATTGGAATCGAGCCAATGAAAAGCGGTTTTTGATTTCATGATAACTTCGAGTTTGTCGTTTTTGGCGAATTGCTAGTCCAATTCAATTGGTATCGAGCCAATGAAAAGTGGTTTTTAATTTCATGATAACTTCGGGTTTGTTCGTTTTTGGCGAATTGATAATCTAAATCGATTAGAATCGACCCAATGAAAAGTGGTTTTTGATTTCATGATAACTTTGTATTTGTACATTTTTGGTGAATTGCTAGCCTAATTTGATTGGAATTGAGCCAACGAAATGTGGTTTTTGATTTCATGATAACTTCGAGTTTGTTCGTATTCGGAGAATTGCTAGTCTAATTCGATTGGAATCAAGGCAATGAAAAGTGGTTTTTCATTTCATGATAACTTCGGGTTTGTTCCTTTTTGGCGAACTGCTAGTCTAAATTGATTGGAATCGAGCCAATGAAAAGTGGCTTTGATTTCATGACAACTTTGGGTTTGTTCGTTTTAATGAATTGCTAGTCTAATTCGGTTGGAATCAAGCCAATGAAAAGTGGTTTTTAATTTCATGATAAATTCGAATTTGTCGTTTTTTGCGATTTGCTAGTCCAATTCGATTGGAATCGAGCTAATGAAAAGTGGTTTTTGATTTCATGATAACTTCGGGTTTGTTCGTTTGTGGCGAATTGCTAGTCTAATTCGATTGGTATCGAGCCAATGAAAAATGGTTTTTGATTTCATGAGAACTTTGGGTTAGTTCATTTTTGGGGAGTTGCTGGTGCGATTCGATTGAAATCGAGTCAATGAGTAGTAGTTTTTGATTTCATGATAACTTCGGGTTTGTTCATTTTTGGCGAATTGGTACTCCAATTCGATTGGAATCGAGCCAATGTAAAGTGGTTCTGATTTCATGATAACCTCGGGTTTGTTCATTTTCGGTGAAATACTATTCTAAATCGATTAGAATCGAGCCAATGAAAAGTAGTTTTTGATTTCATGATAACTTCGGATTTGTTCGTTTTTGGCGAATTGCTAGTCTAACTTGATTGGAATCGAGCCAATGAAAAGGGGTTTTTCATTTCATCATAACTTTGGGTTTATTCGTTTTTGGCGAATTGCTAGTCCAAATCGATTGGAATCGAGCCAATGAAAAGTGGCTTTTGATTACATGATATCTTCGGCTTTGTTTGTTTTTGGCGAATTGCTAGTCTAATACGATTGGAATCGAGCCATTGAATGGTTGTTTTTGATATCATGATAATTTCGGGTTTGTTCCTTTTTGGCGAATTGCTAGTCTAATTCGATTGGAATCGAGCCAATGAAAAGTAGTTTCTAATTTCATTATAACTTCGGGTTTGTTAATTTTTGGCGAATTGCTAGTCAATTCGATTGGAATCGAACCAATGAAAATTGGTTTTTCATTTCACGATAACTTCGGGTTTGCTTGGTTTTGGCGAATTGCTAGTCTAAATCGATTGGAATCGAGCCAATGAAAAGTGGCTTTTGATTTCATGATAACTTTTGGTTTGTTCATTTTGGTGAATTGCTAGTCTAAGTCGGTTGGAATCGAGCCAATGAATTGTTGTTTTTGATATCATGATAAATTCGGGTTTGTTCCTTTTTGACGAACTGCTAGTCTAATTCGAATGGAATCAAGCCAATGAAAAGTGGTTTTTGATTTCATAACAACTTTGGGTTTGTTCATTTTTGGTGAATTACTAGTCTATTCGATTGGAATCGAGCTGATGGAAAGTGGCTTTTCATTTCACGATAACTTCGGCTTTGTTCATTTTTGGCGAATTACTAGTCCAAATCGATTGGAATCGAGCCAATGAAAAGTGACTTTTGATTGTATAATAACCTTAGGTTTGTTCGTTTTGGCGAATTGCTAGTCTAATTCGATTGGAATCGAGCCAATGAAAAGTATTTTTGATTTCATGATGACTTCGAGTTTGTCATTTTTGGAGATTTTCTAGTCTAATTCGATTGGAATCGAGCTAATGAAAAGTGGTTTTTGATTTAATGATAACTTCGGGTTTCTTCATTTTTGGCGAATTGCTAGTCCAATTCAATTGGTATCGAGCCAATGAAAAGTGGTATTTGATTTCATGATAATTTCGGGTTTGTTCATTTTTGGCGAATTGCTAATCTATTTTGATTAGAATCGAGCCAATGAAAAGTGATTTTTGATTTCATGATAACTTCGGATTTGTTCATTTTTTGGCGAATTGCTAGTCTAATTTGATTGGAATTGAGCCAATGAATTGTGGTTTTTAATTTCATGATAACTTTGGGTTTGTTTGTATTCGGTGAATTGCTAGTCTAATTCGATTGGAATCGAGGCAATGAAAAGTGGTTTTTCATTTCGTGATAACTTCGGGTTTGTTCATTTTTCGCGAATTGCTAGTCTAAATCGATTGGAATCGAGCCAATGAAAAGTGGCTTTTGATTTCATGATAACTTTGGGTTTGTTCGTTTTGGCGAATTGCTAGTCTAATTCGGTTGGAATCAAGCCAATGAATAGTCATTTTTGATATCATGATAAATTCAGGTTTATTTTTTTTTGGCGAACTGCTAGTCTAATTCAATTGGAATCGAGCCAATAAAAAGTGGTTTTGGATTTCATGACAACTTTTGGCTTGTTCATTTTTGGTGAATTGCTAGTCTATTCGATTGGAATCGAGCCATGGAAAAGTGTCTTTTCATTTCACGATAACTTCGGGTTTGTTCATTTTTGGCGAATTACAAGTCTAAATTGATTGGAATCGAGCCAACGAAAAGTGCCATTTGATTTCATGATAACTTTGGGTTTTTTTGTTTTGGCAAATTGTTTGTGTAATTCGATTGGAATCGAGCCAATGAAAGGTTGTTTTTCATTTCATGATAACTTCGGATTTGTTCTTTTCCGGCGAGTTGCTAGTCTATTTCGATTGGAATCGAGCTAATTAAAAGTGGTTTTTGATTTCATGATGACTTCGGATTTGTTCATTTTTTGCAAATTGCTAGTCTAATTCGATTGGAATCGAGCCAATGAAAAGTGATTTTTGATTTCATGATAACCTCAGGTTTCTTCATTTTTGGCAAATTACTAGTCCAAATCGATTGGAATCGAGCCAATGAAAAGTGGTAACTTCGGGTTTGTTCAATTTTGGCGAATTGCTAGTCTAAATCGATTAGAATCGAGCCAATGAAATGTCGCTTTTGATTCAATGATAACTTCGGGTTTTTTCGTTTTGACGAATTGTTCGTCTAATTCGATTGGAATCGAGCCAAAGAAATGTTATTTTTCATTTCAGGTTAACTTCGTATTTGTTCGTTTTTGGCGAATTCCTAGTCTAAATCGATTGGAATCAAGCCAATGAAAAGTGGCTTTAGATTTCATTATAACTGCAGGTTTGTTCATTTTTTGGCAAATTGCTACTCTATTCGATTGGAATTGAGCCAATGAAAATTGGTTTTTCATTTCACGATAACTTCGTGTTTGTTCAGTTTTGGCAAATTGCTAGTCTAAATCGATTGAAATCGAGCCAATGAAAAGTGGTATTTAATTTCATGACAACTTCGAGTTTGTCATTTTTGGCGATTTGCTAATCTAATTCGATTGGAATCGAGCCAATGAAAAGTGGTATTTAATTTCATGACAACTTCGAGTTTGTCATTTTTGGCGATTTGCTAATCTAATTCGATTGGAATCGAGCCAATGAAAAGTGGTATTTAATTTCATGACAACTTCGAGTTTGTCATTTTTGGCGATTTGCTAATCTAATTCGATTGGAATCGAGCCAATGAAAAGTGGTATTTAATTTCATGACAACTTCGAGTTTGTCATTTTTGGCGATTTGCTAATCTAATTCGATTGGAATCGAGCCAATGAAAAGTGGTATTTAATTTCATGACAACTTCGAGTTTGTCATTTTTGGCGATTTGCTAATCTAATTCGATTGGAATCGAGCCAATGAAAAGTGGTATTTAATTTCATGACAACTTCGAGTTTGTCATTTTTGGCGATTTGCTAATCTAATTCGATTGGAATCGAGCCAATGAAAAGTGGTATTTAATTTCATGACAACTTCGAGTTTGTCATTTTTGGCGATTTGCTAATCTAATTCGATTGGAATCGAGCCAATGAAAAGTGGTATTTAATTTCATGACAACTTCGAGTTTGTCATTTTTGGCGATTTGCTAATCTAATTCGATTGGAATCGAGCCAATGAAAAGTGGGTTTTGATTTCATGATAACTTCGAGTTTGTTCATTTTTGGCGTATTGCTAGTCCAATTCGATTGGAATCGAGCCAATGAAAAGTGGTATTTAATTTCATGACAACTTCGAGTTTGTCATTTTTGGGGATTTGAAACATATAAAGTAGAGTCAATGCAATACGTTCCATCATTGAAGCACTTCTCCAAGAGGCTAAAGGCATATTTGAAGGAGGTTTTGAAAACTCAAAAACTACTTGTGAGACTAAGAAACTTCAGCCTGTTTCAATAATTTCCTAGGAGTGGTTCGTTGGCTTGGAAGAGCTTTTAGAGGAAGCTCGCTCATAGTAGCTTCCTCAAAAAGCTCTTCCATATAAAGCAAAAGCCCCACAAAGCAGGCCCTTAATAGCTTAGGACATAGTAATTGCATTAGAATTGAAAAGGCTTTTTGAGTTTTTATTACAGCATTGATTCTGCATGCAACACACTAAACTGTAGTAGTATAGACTAAATTTAAAATATGTCCTTCATAGTTTAGATGTGGTGATTCAACATGATATCAAAGTATGCAAAAGACCTGAATTAAGATTCGTCTCCACCTACTTACGAAGACTATGCATGTCGAAGACAAAATTTAAACAAATAAATGTGACATCTCTCCAATAGCTTAAACTTTTAGATGAAATGGTTCATCACGCCTGCATACGACCTAAGTGGTAAGGACCACCAGCTCAAATCAAATATTAAGAAGAATCGATCTCAATGAGTAGATGAGTTCTCCTCTTCCATATTGTCGTCTTATTAAGCCCATGTCTTGACCTCCATTATTTTCAATCTCTTTTTTCTACATATTCATTTTCAATCATGCATTCGCACAATAAAACATGCTACACGTTAACCCAAAACTTTCCCTACTTTTTAGTTTTTAATTACGCATTCTCCGAAAAATCAGTATTCAAAACTCTATTTTCCCCAAAATGCTGGTCGTCAATCAGGGGCTAAGATACATAAAATTCTATACATTACCATCAAAGAGTCCATCTTCAAGTTCATGGCCAATACTTGCAGCATAAGTAGGTTTCAGATATTCCTTCTCTACCCTAGGAAAGCACCGTGCCTTCCCTGTAGATGACCCTCGTTCACGCTTTTGCTGTTCCTTCAGAGGTAAGCAGTTTGTTTTTTGTAAGTTAATCAATGTGATTTAAATTGCAGTCAAACGATAAAATTGATAAAGAAAATGTTTACCAGACGGCTCTAAATTTCTTGAAGCTATATGTCAAATATGGTATAGAATTCTCCATCAGATTTTCCAGCACCTTAGGCACAGTTCCAGCATAGAAATACGTAACTACAAGAGTTAAATACAGATAGAGAAATGGCAAAAAGACCACTATATTTTTTCACCTCATATATAATTAGACGCTGGATTAATACTTGGCGAAGGGTCATTAAGTTGCGATGCAATAGAGCGTGGTAGAATATTCCAATATATGTCTGCATAAAGTAAAGACCAAACACCTGGAGGAAGAAAAGGTAAGTAAAGGACTTAAAAATACATTAAACGACAAGGAGATATATAGATTTCTTTTGTCTACCTTGTAGACCAAACTGCGAGCTCTATACTCTACATTTTCATTATTTTCACATTTAACAAGCTTCACTGATATCTTTCCCCCCATTCTGGTGAAGTACTGAATTGCAAGGAGGTAAACTGCTGTCAGACAAAACCTGGAAAAAATGCATTTGAAAGGATGTCATAACGCCAAAATCATTTTCATAAAAACGAGTTTCTGAATTTAACAACAGTTGTTTCCAAAACCATAACCTACAAATGATTTCCCATGTAAAAGCTTCAAACTAATAGATAATTTTGGTATTTAATTATTTTATTTCCTCGAACCTATGCATGGAATTTTTCGTAATGAGTGGTGGGAAGACAAACTCAAGATCATCAACCTTCTCTAATACCATATGAAATGAGATGTAAGTTGTTATAAATGAGAGAACAATTTACTAGCATTTATTTTTTAGATACTTCTTTGTTTTAATCTCTCTTGAACCAGTTAAAGGCTATACATGCATGACCTAGTGAAGAAGAACTGGAAGAAAGAAGTTGGATCTCATATAAAGCAAGACTCTTTTTCGTTATGTTCATCTAAACATGAATTTCATAATAATGAACAAATGCAGTCAGCATTTGAGTTAGCAAATACTACATATCATTCATTAAGAATCAAACAAAACTGTAATGTACCATACACCATTTTTCATTGCATACTTTCAGAAAGAGAAATTTGTCATCATATTAAGCCCCAGGTTGACAACCATTACTTTTAAACACTTTTTTCTACGTACTCATTTCAACCGCACATTCACATAATTTTATTATACAAGTAAATCCAAAACTTTTCCCTAATGTTTAACCACATATTCTCATAAAAATTACTATTTGAAACTTTTTTCCCCCATAATGGTTGTCAAACAAGGGCCAAGTTGCAAGATTCATAGAAAAAATAATAATAAATAAATATTATGCGTAAATTAAAGCTAACATTTTTATCCTCACTGATTTGATCAGCTTAGACAGACCATCAAAGCAAGGACGAAAACTCAATTACACAAACTGGAAATTTTCTCTTTTAATTTCACAATAAATCTAGGGTCATCCACAGATATCCTTTTCCGCCATGCCATTTTGGAACCTGAACAATTGTAGGAAACAAAAAAATCCAGGGCCAAGTATTCTACCACTTACATAAGGAGTTTCTTGTCCTTTGTCCTGAGGGGTTGGGGGCATATATTTAGGAAAGAATCAAGGAATTAATGAGATCAAGTAACTCACTTCAAGAAGTCAGACCCAATAACTTCATAGAGATGAGCATAAGCCAATTCAAAAGGAAGCTGGAGACATATGATACTCAATATAATAATGGCATCATTTCTAAATCTCATCAACCATCTCAACCATTCTTCTCTTTGGAAGAATGCTTTCTCTTTCATACTATCCGTCCCTCTTTTCATCATAAGTTCTGCAGGGGATGTTAATGAGCTCTGTTCCACTTGGAAAAATTTATAATCGGATTCTGTACCCGCCGAATGATTTATATGCCACCTGTATCATCCGGACATGGTAACACAACAGGATGTGGAAACATGAGTGCAAAAAGATATTTGTAAAGAAATGCAATTAAAAGTATCCACATCAGATGGAAACTGTTATAGCTGTTCAAAAACTGGATTACACATACCTAGCTAAAAGAGCTGAATTTTTTCGTTTCCAGAATTGGAAAAACAACACGGCCCAAGAAATCAGGCATATGAAGAAAATAGGGAGAACCAAAAGTTGTATTGACCTGGGGTTAACAAAAAGCAAAAGAAAGCATCCCTCAATAAGAGTAATAAAAAGCACAAAATTTGACATAGATGTCCACGTCTGGTGTACAATATTCGATAGTACTTGTGGGTGTAAAGCAACATTTTAACTTCTTTTCTTATTTAAATTGTTGAGTATTGTCTAATCCATCTTAATAGAAATGCTAATATAAGACGAAGTTAAATATGGCCTACCCAAAATCAACCAACTGCATTGTAAGTCCTAATGTAGCTGGAAACAACAACCACCTTGTGTACTTTCCGAGGAAAGCAAAGTAGATGGCAATCTACAAGCACAACACATTCACAGTTACTAAATGAGATGAATGTGGTTTACTATGAAGAAAATGAATATTAAGGAGCAGCTTATAAATGAATGTAGCAAAAGTACAGCTACCAACACCATTTGACATTTACCTTCACTCCGTAGTATAAATATATCGCGTCAAGTGGCTGTGTTGTAAAGTCCCACCAGTTCAGTGCCCAACTTCTTAGGAGCTTCTTCCGCTTGTTTTCATCTATAAAATATTCATCTTATTTTGCATGTGCATGACTGCTGATAATTTTGTCATAAATAAGAAGAAGAAGAAGAATACCATGCAATGGCAATACTTCTTTGACTATACCCTCTGATTCCAATTTCTGAAGTAGAGGTTCCCTCGGCAACCAGTCGACCTCTCTATGATCAAAATTCAATTCTATAACCGACTTGCCTGTGTTCACCTGTGACATTTGGCCTTAACATCAGTTACTAAGTGAGAATTTTGGTACAGAACACATGCTTGTGTTTGGAAGCACACAAATGGATATGTAAAGTTGTCCCAAAAGACATTCATATCCATTATGTGACAGCGGAGATGATTTTCCTGTCTCACAATTCAGAAGAACGTAATCAATGATCTGTATCCTATAACAATTAAAGAAAAGAAAAAATAGTGATTAAGCTATAATTCCATTCTCGAGACCATATACGAAGGGGAAAAGACAAATGCAAACATAGAAATACACGGATTTGTAGCTGCTCATCCTCAATGTGAGAGCTATGACAAAGAAGGAGTATTACAAAGTTTTCCTAACACCTGTCTTATCTAGACCCTTGAGATTCCTTTACACAGTGCAGGAAGCTGGGAGACCTAATACATAGAAATGAATGCCAAATATACCCTATATCAAAAAGTTTCATCATTTTATTGTACAGAGAGATGAATGCCTAATTTTAGGTCTATCCACAAGGTAAATTGAGCAGTATGATTGGCCTCCACGCAATCCAACAAAAACTCCAACAGTTAAAGCCTCGATGTTGTCATAGCTACTCCATCTATTGACCACACCTTATTTAGAATCTGAAACTGACAAAATGAAATAGAACAGATTGTATATTCTCCTTACATAGTTTGAACTCCCAGGCCCAATCAATGAGCCTACTTACCACTGGACATTCTTATTGTTGCAATGAAAAAAAAAAAAGCATAAAGAATAATACTAAACCAAGCACAAAGAATAAAATTAACACACAATCCTGTATATTATGTGATTGTAGCAACGGAAATGCTCACACCAAGTGAAAAAGGATCCATCAGGCTGCCTAACAAAGGCTTCTACCTCATCCCATTCAAATGGCAAATCCATTCCTGAAATAAGCACAGGACGTTCAGTGCACGTTTTATACATAGACAGAATGCGAATAAATTTAGCTTCTTTTTCTTTGTTCCTACCAAACAGGCAATCGAGATTTTTTAGGTAAATATGAACGCAGACTGCTGGGGAAGCACAATAAGCAAAAGACTAATGAGTACTGCATGACTGCTACCTATATGAGTTCGTTTTGTGAATTGCAACTCAGCCGCAGCCTTCCCCAGAATCTCCAATGGTGCTGACAAATGAAAAATACAAAATGGAAAACTAGCAATCATAACCCCCCCCCAAAAAAAAAAAAGTTTGATTATTAATTAAAGCTTTTCTCTATTTGCAAAAGTGCACACAACAGACAGAATCGAACTGTA